GAAAATAAAGAGAAAGAGAGCAAAACAGACACTGCAGGCACAGACTGTTTCTTACATATAAACTTATTAAAGCATTTCAAAGGTGTGCGCCATGCTAAGGAACAATTCATAAAAATTATCCAAATCGTGTGTAATTTTTAACTATAGGTGTAAGGCACAATATGGGGCAACATTTGCTGCTTGGCGGAGGTCTGTTATCAATATAACCCTCTGCTACCTGGCTTATTTTACAGCCACTCTCATGCTGCCAGTAGCACAAGCAATCTGTTCAATAGATGGGTTGAAAACAAGCCAGCTTGCACGTCTCTACATTTGTGCAGCAAATTTTGCAGATCACCTGCAACCAGTGTGGGTACTAAAGCGTTATTAAGTAATGCAGTACAGTATCTAGATTTCTTTTCCAGTAACCGGTGTTTGAAACTTTACTTAAAAAAAATAACTGGTTATAGTTATTAAAAATACGTTATAGCCATAAGAAAGTCATGAACATGTGTGAAAAAAGAACGCAGCTCTCAGTTTTGAAATATGTGGAGCTTCTTTAATTTACAGCTTCTAACTGACGTCTATAGTCTTTTTTCTCCACCTATAATGAACAAATTACAGGAACATTTATCCTTCAGTGTTTTTTTTTTTTTTCTAGGTACGCTCTCATTGAATCAGTGGCTCTGCGCCTTCATCTCTCCTCTGTGCTAATGCTGAAGTTCATAACGTCCCAACAGTGGCAGTAACTAGCACTGTAACTAATTAGTTTTTAAAAGTCAGTAATGTGTTAGTCATTACTATGCCTTAAAAAGGATTTTATGGTAGTAGGAGTATGGAAAATGGTAATGCATCTTGTTACATATAGAAATATCTAGTATTAACTTTACATTTTTAGCAAATATCATAACTATGATCTTCAAAAACAAAGTTGACAAAGTTCCTGTTGCGTGACACCATGGTGGTGAGACGTCTTTTTAAAAATCATCAATAAGACCTATGGATTTTGATTTTTGATACTGAAAGAGACCAGTATTACTTTATAAATACTGACAAATTGCAAATACATATTTTAGGTTTCTAACCTTTTGCTACTCTTGAATGATTTATTAATCCAATCCTTATTCATTGTCTCATTCCACATTATTGCATAGCCTGTTTTTTATTTGCACATTTCTTTGTTTTATGTTGTATCACATGTGGAGAGACATTAATATTTTGAGCCACATCAAAAATACATTTTCTAAAAGAAAAATCACCATATTCAATATTTATTATTCCACTCAAAGTATACCTCTTTTAAAAATTAAACACCTGACCCTGAAAAGACCATACTATATTTTTGAATTGGATTCTTCATTCTATGTAGTCAAGCAAGGATATTCAGCATTTTTTTTTTCCATGATAAGATATTTCTCTGCCATTTTTGTAAGTACAGAACGACCTTTTGCCTTCTTTCGAGGCTGTGAAATTGCTCAGGTCCAAGAACGGTCTTCAGCAGTATTTTATCTCTGTCCTGTGACAAGTTCAATCAGTCAGTCTATTACCTTACCCAATAAATCAGCAGCAAAGCAGAACTTACATCCTGACTTCTTTTTTTAATAAATGGAACATTAAGTCCATATTAATTAAATTTCCCCATCAGAGTACTGTCCTCCAATTAATTGATCTTTAGTTCATATTTCTGCAGATATATTTTTCTTGTGGAACGTCTTTTCTTTTAACCCTGCTGACATGCGTTCACAGTTTGTGCTGTAACACTGCGCTTCTCTCCTTGTTCCATTAAATATGACTTATATCAGTTTTTCCACATCTTTTATGATCATGTATCAGAGCTGGCCCTAATTAAATCAGATCTGAAAGATTTATATCAAGGAATATTCCCAGTGGACTACATTTTTCCCTATATAGAAACTAGAAAAGCTTTTGAACATATTACAGGGATGAAAAACTGCTTTGTCAGCATTATGTTAACAGTGAAAAACAGACATGGAGAATAGTCTGAAAAAAAGGTTTAATTTTGTATTGTGAAGATTTACAATTTAGATATAGTATAAATACTTACCTGAGGCATGTACAAAAATCTTCAATGTGAATGAAATCGGTAGTTGTAAAAACAGCGGACCTTTGAAGACGATATTGAAACCTACTGTTAATGAGGCGTGATGCTGCTTCCTGGCAGCAACCTCCTAATGCATCAAAGACTACATCAGACTAAACAAGGCTTTAAAATTAATGAATAGCTCTGTCTCTGAGGGGTAATTTTCCATCATCAGCATTGGCAAACCCCATTGTCAGGAGCAAAGCAAGAGGCAGCACAGTGTTGCTGCCGCATGCATTTATCCTGATTAATTCATACAACGCAGTAGGTCTGATCCTGATGATTCTCTCTTTTTGTTATCCCAGGATCCTCCTCAGGGTTTGGCTAATAATGTTCCCTAGAGGAAATGCGGGTATTTAGGTTAGTCTCGTTGACAAATTCCCTAAGGAGTTTCTTAGGTCAACAGCGGTATACCTTATTAGAACCCGACTTCTCGCAAGTGCCTGTATTGATAAGTTCACAGATAGCAGCTGCTTGGTAAATCACAGCATCAACCTAAAAAAAACAAGCAACAAAAAAACATTACATTTCTCTGTTTGCAACTTCTTCTGATGAAACAACATAGATGAAGACTATTTAATCTGAATCTAGCTCTTCGTTCAACTTGCTGTGCTATTTAACTTGCTTAAGTTTGCTCTGCTTCCATGAATTATAGGATTTCATTGAGCATAATTAACCCTAATACTTCAGTCAGAGTTGCTCTTTTAATATTTTCTCTGCCTCTCAACCCAAACTGCTTGCAAGGAGTAGAACTTTTAATGAAATACTCAATCATTACCCACGCTCATGGATACAATTATGATATACAGCTTACAGAAATACGACAGTATGATATTAGAATCTTTAGAAAAACAGCTAAAAAACACATCCAACCATTTTTTTTGTCCTAACCTGAGAATAACTTAATGTGATAACAGTGCCAGTATGGAAATAGAAAAATTTCCTATGCCCAGTGACACGGATCTTGGTGAAAGACTAAGGAAATTATAGGCCTGAAGGTATATATAATCTTCCCAGTGAGGTCTGTGTGTGCCCCGGGGTCTCCTCTTAGTGGGGTGCACCTGGAAATCATCTCAGAACAGGCACTTAGAAGGGCATTTAGTTTAGATGTCAAACACGCCTTTACTGATTTCTTTTGATGCATATTAGCAGCTGCTTTGCTATGAACTCCCACAGATGAGAGACCTCACCACCATATTTCTAAGGCTTTGTCTCGCCACTCTAAAGAAGAAGCCCATTTTCGCTGCTTTTATCCAGTGTCACATTCTCTTAGTCATGATCCATGTCTCATGATTTGGCCTTAGTCCAGAATGAGCTGACTGTCATTCCAGCCCGGCAAAAAATTCTAGTGAATTAAAATTGTTATACAAATTAGCAGTCAAAGAACACGGAAAATAACCAACACCTTTCACAACTCTAGTTTTGAAATTTTGGGCAGTCCATAGCCAAGCCCCTTAAAACATTACTCAAAACAATAAAAGGAACACATAAACACACAATATAATTTCAATTAAATCAAACGGTAATACTTTCTTTTACAGTACATTATAACCATGTAATAATATAGTAATAACATAGCGAGTTACACTATATTACTAGGTAACAACAATAACTTTACTTGGCAATTACCCGAAAGTGAAAGTACATAATTTCAAAGTAATTACCAGCATATAATTATTGCAATTACATATTACTATGTAACAATGGCGAATTTTGGTGTGTAATTACCATCAGGTTACCATGGGACAGTTTACAACAGATTACAAAGTAAATTGTTATTTATGGTCAGGTAAGTGCTGTGGTTCAAATTTCAGGCAGACAAGGTAAAGTCCGAATTCTTCATTTCAAACTGTTATTAGGTCTAGGTTAGTGTAAGTAGTGACTAGTGTAAATTAGCACATTTTACCAGATGAAATTAAGTAAACTGCTGGGTTTCTTTCTTTGGTATTAAAGAATTATTGCTGTATAATTATATCAGTTAGAATGTTTTTTTAACTCTTAAAATACTAACAAAACTATTTTGTGCAAATTACCAAGTAAAACACATATAATTAATTGGTAAGTATTTAGAATATGTACTGTAAAAGAAAGGCATCCAAAGTTTCTCAGATATTATGCAATGATTACCATGTAAACTATTTGGTTTGTGCTGTTTTACATATTTCTTCATAGAGAACCTCCATTACATAGGTGCATTATTATAATATCTGATTAATAATATAATAATAATATTAATCAGATTAATATCTGAGAAAAATTGGATTGCTAGCCTAGCGTACGGTTAAGATACCTGAACATTCCTCATGCTGCCTGAAAGCAGCAGAAGCTGCTCCTTTCAGCTTTAATGCATGCAGAGGTAAACCTCTGTTTTCCAGGTGTCCTGGTAGACTCGTCTTAGTTTCTTGTCCAGAAGACAGCTATGAAGGTGTACAGGTGGACCTTCCTTATTGAGAACTCAAATAGTTGTTTTTTTAACGATCAGTTTGCTCTTTCATTTATTTTCTGTTATGAGCAACATTGCCAATGATTTTCTAAAGTTGTTGAAATTAATTTAAATGTTATTCTGTTATTGAATTATATATTCTGTTTTGTTAAAGATTTAAATGTTTAGTCAAGGATTTGCACCTGACTGGAGCTTTGAATTTCTTGACTTTAGAACTTACCTAGGGCTTGCATTTCTTACTTTGGATTTGCCTTTAGATTTGGTTGGAAAAACTACTAAAGTACCAAAACCACTTTTAAATTGCAAAACAATTTTTTGGTCACACTTCTAGACATTATTTGTGTAAGCATTCTCTGGATGTTTGTCTGTGGCCTTTGCCAGCATTTCAGGTGTTTTTCACACACTAAAAATGTATTTTTCTTAATTCTGTTTACCTTTCTCCACAATTTAAGCTTTCTGTATGTATTTTATCCCCAGATTGGAGTTACCATCACTTCTTTGGGATTTCATACCTTGAATTTCATGCTGTTGACCTTGAAACTCTGAACAACATTACTGTGAGATTTCAAACCAAGGCATCTCAGGGAATGCTTCTATATGTGGACCAAGGACCCATTAATGGAGATTTCTTTTTTATGAAACTTTTTATCCAGGATGGGATCTTGAAGGTAAATGCCGTTTTACAGAAAGGTTTCTGATACTGATATCTGTTTGGTCTGTAGGAAATGTCTGTACTTTAAAATATTGTATAATAATACCCTTAAAGGTTAACTGAACTACTAACCCATAACCTATTGTGGAAACAGGAGAGCCTAAAAGTATTTGCATGAGCCCTTTTTTGACCAGTCAAATTGATCTGCATAGGTGGTTTGTTCAGTTAATAGATGTACACAGTGGAAGAGAAAACAGCTTTTTATTTTATGTAATTGTAATGCTGCAGACATATTTTAAATTGAATATAATATAATACATTTAAATTATACACATCTGGCTGTGATGTTTACTTTGACGATTTAACAAGTTAATTCAACAATTTAACATTTAAACTGTTTTCTATTTGAAAAAAATATATATTTAATACAGTAGACAGTCATGCAGAAGGGAATTTATTGTATATTTGTAGGTTTTGGTGATAAAACCGTTTTACAAGCCATTCCAATTAACTTAAATGTGTGACTTCATATATTTCAATGGTCAACCAGTTTAGAAATAGAAAATATGTCCTCCTAACAAATGTAGCCAATAGTCAGTCAGAATTTCAGAGCTCCTAGATTCTTTTTATATTCCTTTTTTAAAGGGGTCATAAAATGATTATATAAGGTATTTACTGTAGTGCGGATCCTTAAGGTCTCTGAATAGGGTGTGTAACTTTGGTTGGGCTGAAAATGGCATATTTGCTGTTCTATGAGCCCTGATTCAAGCCTGGTTAAAAGCCCTAGAATAAAACGACCGGTTTATTTCCTTTTTTGTATGCTCATGAATATTTAGATGAGCTGTGCACTGATTGGTTGGTTCACGACGAGCGAAACTGCTGAGCAAAGACGCATCATAGCAACAAGCACTCACTCACTGAAACATCAAAAATCAAAGTAGGGTGACCAGACGTCTTCTTTTCCCGGATATGTCCAACTTTTCATACCTAAAAAATGTCCGGGGGAAATTTCTAAATCGTCCAGGATTTTGGTCGACTATAGCGCAGCACGTAATCGAAACACCCGGGCACTCAAACTGACCCGTAAGCTCCGGTGCTGGTCAGGGAACCCTGGTGGACGGGTAGGGGAGACAGTGGGGGAAGGAGAGACTGATCCTGATCTCTGGTGACGATAGCCTGCATGTAAATCCCAGGGCGTGACAAAAGTGCAGGCTAGAACCAAATAAAGCAGCATCCCCCAGATTACATCAACTTGGGGCTTCGTTTGGATTTGCCCGTTTTATGGTGAAAGTTTAGAATTGTGAGATTTGCATAGAAAGGAGGTGTCGATGGGGTTTCAACATTTCACCCACTGAACTATCGTTATTCATCTATGACAAGGTAAACTCTGTTTTGCATTCTATGACCCCTAAATGATAAAGTATGATTTGAAAAGAAGAATGTAAATCCATATTTAGAAAACAAATTACTTGTGAGTCAGCCTTTATGTTACAAGGTAATGACAAGTTATCATTTAACTACGAAACTTGACATCTTAAAGGAATAGTACACCCAAAACATGATTAGCCTTCATTTTCTACTCACCTCCATGCTGAACAACACTCTGGAGTACTTTTTTGATATCTCAAATGCATCTGGAGATCTGGGAGGCTTCTTGCTGTCTGCTGACATTCAAATAATGGAGGTCCATGGCGCCCGAGACAGAAAGGTCCATAAAAGTCCACAAAAACGTGTCAATATTCCTCCATACTGCTCGTCCAATGTAATCCAAGTGTCCTGAGTGGGTAGCATCCAGAATTTACTCGAAACGAAGTCATTTAGAATGTTTTTAGAGCATAAACAGTAGTGTATAGGATTTCCTAATAGCGCCCCCATGCGCGCTCACGATTCTACGGAAGCCGGCAGACCAAACCGGAAGAAAGTGCGCATTCAGCGTCTGGTCTGCCGATAATGCAAGCGTAGAAGAAGAAATGTGCTGTTTACCTGTGCAAAGAAAGAAACAACGAAAGAAAAATGTCTGAGGACTTCAGTGTTGAGGAAGAGCATGAGTTCTTTGCCGAGCTGAATGCGCTGGTTTGGTCTGCCGGCTTCCGTAGAATCGTGAGCGCGCATGGGGGCGCTATTAGGAAATCCTATACACTACTGTTTATGCTCTAAAAACATTCTAAATGACTTCGTTTCGAGTAAATTCTGGATGCTACCCACTCAGGACACTTGGATTACATTGGACGAGCAGTATGGAGGAATATTGACACGTTTTTGTGGACTTTTATGGACCTTTCTGTCTCGGGCGCCATGGACCTCCATTATTTGAATGTCAGCAGACAGCAAGAAGCCTCCCAGATCTCCAGATGCATTTGAGATATCAAAAAAGTACTCCAGAGTGTTGTTCAGCATGGAGGTGAGTAGAAAATGAAGGCTAATCATGTTTTGGGTGTACTATTCCTTTAAGTCACTGGCTACACTTTACCAGGATTTTGAAATATTTTTATACCTATAAAATTCTTGAAAACAAATTTAAATAATCGGTAAAAGACAGTTTTTAAACTCAAAAATAGACATTAGTGAGCATTTTTTTTTTTTTATTACACTTTTTCAGATTAAACATAGCTTTATGTTCAAAACCTTACAAAAGAGAGCATTCAGTTGATATCATAAAAGTGTATAATGTAAATATTTTAAACTTTTATGAAATAATTAACCCCAGTTTACTTTGTACAACCTCAATACACTATATACTCATACACTCATATTAGTTAAATCTTAAAGTATAGATCTATAATATTTGATCAGCAACATTTAGATTTATTTGTCATTTATAGTTATATAGATATATACAGTATATAGAGATATATAGTGCAACTATGTGTAACCTATTTCAATGTCAAATACATATATAAAATTCATAAATGCATTAATATATATTTTTGTTATGCCTGATGATTAGTTTAAAATATCTCTTAGTCTATTATGTCAGTGACATTAGACAGGTATAAACATGACAAAAGAGACATTGCATACTTAAACCATCTTCTAATGTTTCAGTATGCCTTTTGCTGCAACGAAGATGAAGAGGTTACACAGATGAGTGCACGCATTCATGTTGATGATGGCAGAGTTCATATTGTGAACATTAGGTATGTACATCAAAGCAGAATAGATACCCATTAACCCATTAACAAAGCTTCTATCATAACGTATGTCAATTTATATACACTGGTTTATCTGCAACAGTTTGCAAATGTTTCACCTGATGAGCTATTTATATATATATATATATATATATATATATATATATATATATATATATATATATATACAGAAAATACAACCTTAAATATGTATTTAATATTGAATAGCTTGCTTAAAAAAATAATTATTAATTGATTTGACAAAAAAAAAAAAGATTTATTTTGTGACTTGGAATTTTATCATTTTGAAATAGAAATCTTGCAATTTTTTAATACAGTATGTTTGCTTTTCAAGCATTCTCAAGCAGTTATGGCTATACAAATAATTACGGCTTGTACTTATAGCTTGACCCTTTTGCTGCTTTCTCAACCTCCAACCTGCATTTTCTGCTTGGTCAACAGGTTGACCAAGCAATCAAATGCTTTATAAAGTACTGATATAGCATTTTTTCAATACAGCAGACTTGACAAAGGAGGCTTTACACCATGTCCAGTCATTCAAGCAAAAATTCATATGTGACAAGTTTAACTGCACTTTAGCTGGAGCTTACTGACAGAAGCTGGAGCTCACAGCTGTAAGCAGGCCCTCTGACCCCCATCAGTGGGCAATTCTGGTTGATCCCCAGGATCCTGGGCGAAAGTCATTCATGCTGACCAGTCAGCTAAAGGGATATCCCTTTAGCAGCCAATGCGCACGATCTGTTGGAGGCATGGTGACAGAACCCCACTCTGTCACACAGGTGAGGGTAATGTCTTGCCCAAGTGCACAACGACTTTGAAAGCTGGCGCTTGCACCAACAACCTTTTTATTGAAGGGCGAACTCCTGCAACACCACTGTTGCCGCGCCCCAGCAGGATTATCTATTTATCCACATCCACCCCTGCACCTGCCTTACCCTATGGGTGACTGGTAGTCCCGTTGCTCAAATTAGACACAGCACAGCCTCTAATATTGGGTTAGTCCTAATTATTATTTGGTCTAGCAAAGACACAAAAAAATCACTAAAATGCTGAGCTTTTTTTTCACTATCAGGTAAAAACGCTGGTGAAAATCCAGGCTCCATATTATCCTGTCTCTACCTACAACACAGTGAGCCTTGTGAATTTTACCAGAGCAGCTTAAAAAAAAACTTTTAAAGAAGTCATGTCAAACTATTTTGAAAGACTTGGAGGTGGGATTATTCCTTCAAAATTGCAATGGAATGTTGGAAGAAAATAAAAATAAAAGATTTTATGTTACTTAAATATTAAACTTATGTACAATATTTCTTTCCAAATGTTTTATGTGGAAAGAAACTGTGGCAGATTTGTTTACAGGGTGGGCTTATAACTAACTCTTGAGAAAGATATATAATTGTCAGAGATTAATGTCTAACAGATATATATATACACAAGCTGAAAGCTGAAGCAATCAAAGTGCAGCATGTATAAATTTGGTTTATAAACATTTTTACTATGTTCAGAGACTCTTTTTGTCTTTTTTGAGGTTAAAATTTTGCTTTGGGAGAATCATGTAAAGACACCAGCAGGAAAAATAAATTAATTTGTTGCCTGCTGAAGACATTATGTGTACAAGTTATTACATTGAAGGTGATATCAAAACTGTGCCAAAGGAAAGCAAGATTTTTTCCCACAGAAACAGAAGCTGAGTGGGAGGGTTGCTTCATGTTTTTGTAGCAGGAAGGCTACACTGCCATAAATATATAAGAGGCCAATCAGGTTCAAGGGGCAACAAGAACCAACCCGTTTTTTTTTTTGTTTTTTTTTTCTGGAAGAAAAATACCACAGCAGTATGAATCAATCATAATGTTCTACTCCAACCCCTTGAGACACTTCAAGAAAGAGAGCTGTCATAACTAGGGGGTTGGCTGTATGGAAAAATGGTTTCTGGTGTCACGAAGCAAATTCTGTGTAATTGTCTGACGCCTGAGTCCGTCCATCTTTGTCTGATTTGACCCAGAGCTACAACACCACAGCCATCCTCAACGTCACCACCTAACTCATTATAGACTTTTAATATATCTTCCCGTCAAAGAGGCTTTTCAATATGTTAAATAGAAATCCGGTGGGGCTGACTTCTCAAGGACAGTGAGCACGGTGCCCTCTGGCTTCCAGCCAGGCCGCTCTGGCAGGCTGCTTCTAAATTAACCGCATCTCCATGCTTGCTTTGGGGGAAGGACTTATGCAGGTTGTAGAAAGTGCCCTGAGTGTTTAGCCAGCATATACAACAGCGTGCAACCCTAGCTTAACAAATCAGACTAGATTGCTTCACAGACCCTCTAACTTCTATTCAGGGAGCAAGGTGCATCAAGAGGCACTAGAGAGGGGACTTTGAATCTGTGGGCTAAGAACCCTCAAGCTGCTGCTAGGTAGTCCAGAATCTGCACTTAGGTAATTATCTAAGCTCCCCTGTTGTTTCCAAGAGGAGAATTGGTTTTAAATCTGAGGCTATGGGGTGGATCTACAACAGTTTTAGTTGAGCCTCATAACATTTCCCGATAAAAAGAGAGGGCACTGAAGAATTGTGAATGATGGGTATAACAACAAAAACGTAACATTTAGATTGGTGTGTTTATCATAAATACTAAATCCAATGCAACACACACTGGAAGCAAGTTTATTCAAGCATTAGTCTGTTGTCTATTTTTCCTTAATATACATGTTTCTTTTCTTTCTTTCTTTTTATTCTTTGCAATAACTAAAAAATTATAGCACTAGTGAAAAACTGACCAAGGCATCGCCAAGGTATTGCCTACCTAAACTGATAAACTGAGCAAGATTAATCAAAAAGGCAAGACTGAGGCAGAGACCTTTAGAAGTGGCAAACATTATTTTATCTTTTGATGTTAAAGTTAACTGGGGTATAAGTCTGAAACTGCACTGCAAAAAACATCTAGAATTAAGTAAAATAATTCTTAAATTCAGTGTACTTGCCCTTAATTTGAGTAGATAAATAAGATGATTTGCCAATGGAATTAGTATTATTATTCCTAAAACAAGATAATTAGATAATATGCACTTGGAATAAGACAAAGCATTTTTTTTTCTTATTTTAAATGTAAATTGTCTTGTTCTATTGGCAAAGTATCTCAATTACCTCCCCAATTCAAGAAAAAATGCACTTAATTTAAGCAAAAATTACTCATTAAGATTTCCATTTTTTGCAGTGTTTCGCTATGATTTGATTGAATTTACCAAATATCTCTGTGTTCAAATTCAGAGTACCTTGAGAAAAAAAAATTGTTTGTTAATCTGCATCAATAAAATTAGTTGAAATCAAAATCTACAACTCTGGTAGGAGAAGATATCCACAGGCAACTATCGATTAGACCCTCCATAAATCAGACCTGAATAGAAGAGAGGTTAAAAAAGAAGATACTGTTTGAAAAAGGCTGTAAGGTGTTCCAGATGAGCTCTAGTGATGAAACAGAACTTTCAGCCTCTCTACATTCTTATGGTGGTAGCAGCATCCTCCTGTCATCATAGTTTATGGGAAGATGGACAGGGTAAGTCCTGAATCAATCCATTTAGGAACAAAATACCTCATACAGGCAATTTCACATTTCATAACACCATCAAATAAAATTATAATAAATACATTGAAATTCATGGTTGTAACAAATCAAATTTCTAAAGTTCAAGGGATGTAAAAAAAATTTTCAATGACTATATGTTCCATGTTCTTGACATGATGTGTACTGTACAGAACAACAGGTTGTGTACATATGCACAAGCATTTTTCTAACATGTTTTTGCCTTATCAGGCAACACCTGACACCTTGTGAAGCAGAGCTGATGCTTTCGGGCCATGAGACAATTAAAAGCACAGCCAGTAATTACTGGCTGGGACACATGATTCAAAGAACAAACCATGTCTTCGTAGGTGGCTTGCCACAACAATATCTTCCCAATCAGGTGAGCTTTGTAATTATTGTGTTCTGTGTTAACTAGCTGCCAAAATTATACGGTATTGAATGTCAGCAGTTTAAAATTACATGTTTGTTTTTTGTTGTTTTTTTTTATTACACTTTTCTTTTAAAGAGAGCAAAACCATTGGACAACTATACTGGCTGTATTGAAGTAATAGAAATTAACCACCTAAGAAGCTTCTACACAACGAATGCAGTTGCTGGCAGCAATATTGACCAATGCAGGTAATGTGTACTAAATTCTTAAAGCTAGAACAAGAAAAACATGTTATAATATGGTCCCTTTCATCATTCATTTATTTCATTTTAAGTTAATAAAACAAAGTTACCAAGTGATTCTGGCATAAAAATCAGACCAAATAGAAAGATGAAGAGTGGTAACAGTGAAACATGATCAAAGTGTTAGTTTTTCCACATGAGTTTTTATTCCTTAAGCATATTTAAAGCATTTTCAACCCATGGTCTTGATATTGATTGTTTATTCAATCTACTCTGTCAGGTTTCCTTTACATCCTACAGTTGACTCCCCATTTAAGTATTTGAGTCGGGCCCTTCCATCAGCTTCCACCGACACAGTAAGCACAGCTCCACTGCTATCATCATCTCCAAAACTTCCTTTGCGTGAACTTCAGGTTTGCCATGATGATCCTTGCCACAACGGAGGAACATGCCATCACCTGCAGCTTCACAACAGAACTATTCCTTCCTGCGACTGTCCCCTTCATTTTACTGGAACTTTCTGTGAAAAAGGTACCTCAAGATCTTTGCATTTACTTGTCTTCTACATTTTTATCGTTTCTGACATAGGAAGCACAAACCACAACCTGCTGTAATGTGACCTTTATAGTGATATCACCAAGAGCCATCCAGCGAATTATATTGGGTAATATATGCTGAGCCTCTTTGGCTAATAGGTTTTAGTATGAGAGGGTAATAGAGTCAGCTGCATTAAGAATTTTGAGTGATGTGAATTATTCAGAATATGATAAATGAAAAGAGAGATCCATATAAGCAGCTAGAACATAGCTGTATGTCTATGTTCCCCTTCAGTGTGCTCCCAGAATGGGAATGTCACTGTAGAGCACTTGCTTTGCATTCCATTACAGCTGTTACCTCTTTCCTAATACAAAATATTTGTTTTGTTCCCTCTACTACAATACTTAAACTAAAGAGACGTAACTACTAACTCATGTAGAGTACAATATTTAAGTTTTCTATTTGCAGCTATTGATCCTAATTAATATTCATTCAAAATATTGAATTAAAATAGTCAGTATTTATTTATGGAGTTTCCTTTTGACACATCAGCTTTTAAGAGTTAACTTGTCGTACTACCTTAAATAAAGCTTGCTCAAGTAGAAACATATACAAACCAGTGTCATTGGAATAGCTTGTTATAAATAAAATTAGCCTGTTAAACTGTTATTGCAAGTTAATGCAAATATTACATTTAGAGACACTGGATTGTCAGATTGTATAAAGCAAATTACCTACTGAGCGAATCTAGCCATAAACAAAATGTGCTCTGAGTACGTAGTTTTAACAGCAGTTAATTTTCACATTACCCTTCAAGTTATTCATAAACCTTGAATTTTGTTCAAATTTTACTAAGAACTACGAAATTTGAGATTTCTTAGAGAGCATTATTTGGGAAACAGCATTGTAAAGAACAAAGAACTTACCAGGTAGGTGAAGAAGGAAGGTCTAAAGAAGATTAAAGCAAAGTTAAGTTGAAAACAGAACCGTAAATCTCACAGGAAAACAAAGGCTTTAACTTACAATTACATTAATGCCCGCACAAAATATACAGTAAGTTAAGGAGGACATTCAATAAGCTTGGATTAACTACAACACAGAATATACAGAGGAAGAGAGCACAGGTGCTCCCTTCAGAGACTGATGGAGTCTTTTCACCCTTCTTGCAGGTACAGTGAAGTTTCAGGATGAGAATATGTGGGGCTTTGAATAGAACTAAGCACTGTTAGAGTAGCTTATATTCATAAAAGTGGTTATAAAACAAGTTACAGAATAAATATAATATTCCAACAAATACCTGCATTAATTCAGCTTTCAGCACATGCAGAAATTCTCAGTTTAAGTAAGATTTCTTGAGGAATTTCTTATCTAAAGTTGATTATACTGATCTTACAGAGCAACTGTAAGAAAGAAGCTTTGCTGAACTTTGAAAGATTATATAATTGAAGGTTAAAAAATAACAGTTTATAACCTTTTATACAATATATTTTTTGCTAATTACAATAAGTCTAACTAGGCTTATAGATCAGCACTGAAATACTGAGGTGTCAGTCTGCATATCAAACAATGTTTTAGTCATAAAATGTTAAATAAAAAGGCTATTTTAAAGATATTTTTCAGTAAGAATCTATATAATGTATCTAATTATTTTATGGTAGAGGTTTTGATAAAGAAACAGATGAAAAGACATATAGACCTACCTTAGCTAGTTCTTGCACATTTCTTCTATGTAGTTAGTTGAATAAGATGTACATTTTTCCTTCTGTGTTTATGAAAAAATATTTTCTCCTTTTATATTTTTTTTTTATATTTGCATTTTTGTTTACATTTCTAAATGAAGTTTTAGGCAGTCTTGGAGACTGTAATTTGATATTAGTCTGTATGAAGCGACTCAAAACTTTCAGGATGTGTCACTAGGGGCAACACTGATATAATCAGGAAAGGGTTAGTTTTTGTTCATCTGGAGTTAAGATAACTTAAAGGGTTTACATTTATTTCTTTTAACAAACAAGCATTCTAAAGTCTAATAAAAGGGTTAATGGAACTAATAAGGGGTAATATATATATATATATATATATATATATATATATATATATATATATATATATATATATATATATATATATATATATATATATATTTTTTTTTTTCTCAATGTGGGACCAGAGTTGGTGGCAAAAATCCCAGACTAGGGAAAGAAAACTATGAGGGAATTTGCTGATTGAGAATAGTTCCCACTCTATCTTTCTCTCAGCAGTAGATGAGTTGGAGGTTAAACCAGCTTTTAATAGGCTAAGTGTACCAACAAATGCTCCACTTACTGTGACCGATGTCATCGGTGAAAATAATTATCCATGGTATTTTAAAACCACTTAAGCAATTCAAAGTAGCACATTTCCACAGAATATGAAAACAGCTAAAATAATACCTCTTTTCAAGTAAGGGAACAAATATAACACCTACAGACCAGTGTCACAAATTTAAAAAAAATCAAGAGAAAAACTCTTTAACAAAAGACAAGAAAACCCAATATGACATGAATATGACATATTGAACCAGAATTAGTATGGACTAATGGAAAGCATTTGATTCAACAAATCATTCGGTACTCATTAACAAGCTGCAGCAGTTTAGCATCAGGGGAGAGGCACTGGACTGGATTAATAGTTATCTAAGAGAAAACAGTTTGTAAAAATGGGTGATCTTATATCCATCTAAGTGTATGGAGAGTGTTTTTGGGGTCCCTCAGGGTTCAGTTTTGGTTCCTAGATTATGTAATATATGCATAAATGTTACATTTTAAGTTTCTAAATTATCAAAATTTACCCTATTTGCTTATGACACTCAATGATATACTGTATTCTGTAGATTATTACAATGAAGTAATTATTACTATAAATCAAGATTTAAGTACCTTTAAAAATGGGTGAATAGAACTAAATTATCACCTAATGTAGAGAAAGGTAACAAAGTTTGGTAACTGCAAAAATATAAATAGTACACAAATAAAATTTGTCAAGTAATTATTGAAAATATAAAGGAAATTAAAATGAAAGGAAAGTACTGGGTGTGATGCTAGACAGTAATCTCAATTGGAAGTCTCACATCAGATACACACAAAACATAGTGGTAAAAAACATTGAAGTCATGAAAAGAATGAAGCAGCTGTTCGATTACAACTCCCTGTTTTTTTTTTTGTATTGCTTATTAGTTTTACCTTATTGTACCTACTTTATTGAGATATAGGGAAATAATTCCAAAATTGTATTAAACTCATTATCAGTGTTGCAGAAAATGGCAGTCCATATTGTTGGCTATCTGGATCATACAGATTATCTGTTTTTACAGTTGAAATTGCTTAAACTGCAGGAGGCGGTTCATTAACATACAGCACAGATCACCTATAAAGCTAGTAAACAATTATTACCACTCAATTTCCAAAATCTTTTCAGAGATAGAGGCTATCAATTTTGAGGGGCTCATGAAATTTAGAATTCCCTCTGTGAAAACCACTGGGGAGAGTTTTTGTGCGTCTGTATGTGGAATTAAACGATGGAACAGCCTGGAGGATAAAATACAAGCAGTCTCCCGATATGCATATGTTTAAATCACCATACAAAATTATGCTACTTCACGTGTATGGAAATGAAAAGTGATGACTATCTATTTCTCATCAATTATGGTGATTTTGGTTGTCATTATTGTTGGCTTTTGAATTAATAATGATAAAGATAACAAGATGCATATTATTGATAGTGGTATTGTATTGATAATGGACATTATTATTAACTGATGAATGGTGTTACTGTTATTATTAGTAGTACAATTAATAGTCTTATTGCTATCTGTATTTTTTGTTGTAGATAGTTTTGATAGCATTATAGAATAAGATTTACATAAAGAGTAATTATTTAGTTTTGTGTAACAAAGGGGTGCAATTAAATAAGCATTGTATTCATTCTACTCCTTTTTGAACAAAGATTTCTCTTTTAGCATTGTTTTACTTTTAATAATTGTCTTATGTTCGAATAAAATTGAATAATAAAAAAAGAGTTCTATATGCGTTGCACAAGCAAAAATTACAGTTAAGCTAGAAAGAAAGAAAATCCAATCCCTATCAAGTTTCATCAATATAATGTGGGTGTTAATAAGTGTTGATATGGCATTTTTTGCTTAAGGTAAAAAAAAATATTGGATAAAAAAAGAGGGATTTGCCACAACTACGAAAAATTTATTTAAAGGAATCCACGACTGGTTGAACACATTTTCCTAAATATATAATTTCCTATTTAATTTGAAATGACCCTTTTTGATATATAAAAACTAAGTATTCCTTTAAAAAACATATACCCTTTGTTATATTTTTCTCCCATGGAGGTTGATATTTTTTTCACCTGTGCAATGTATGCTGGGTTGAACTGTATTATATTTACACCGAAAAATTAAAAAATTCCCAAATAAAGTTTATGTTTACAACTAATCGTGGATCCCTTTAAGTTAAAGAATGTCTGTGTCTGAAGGAAGCGTGAAAATCATGAGTTAATTAGTTTTTTTTTAAGTACTGACAAAATTTTGGTAAAATTCAGGGGCTATATTATATACATTTTATCTGTCATTTGTACTTCTAAAACAAAACTATTTACAGGCAGAATCAATATCTCTATCATCACCTCTTTATAAGTTTTCTGTTTTGGTTTATTATGCTAAATCATCAACATTGTAGATTTCAGATAACTATAATCAGTAAAACATAAATGGTTAAAATCTACCATGTTTTTTTCTGGGCGCATCAGAAGAGACCATTCTTAAAATGCAACTCCCTCATTAGCTACATAGTAGCAAAAATCAAAGCCAGAAAAACAAAGCAGAAGCAATAAAAAACATAACCTATCTTTTTAGATTAGAAATCAAAGAACTTTCATTAAAATAACTGCAAAATATAACATAATACATGTTAAATCATAGATCTCCTAAAAGAGAAAAAAAAAAAGAA